AATAAAAACTTGTGTTTTTAAAGTTTTTTCTACATACATATTGAGCATATGTTTCTGGAGACCACTCTGTAAGTTTACAGGCTGACCTGTAAAAAGTGGTCACCTTTTTTTGGTCCCAACTTTACTCCTATCATATGGCTCAGGCAGTCCTTGGTTCTGGAGGGTGGGATTTTAAGAAATCTGCATTTTTCTCTCTCCCTCTCTTCCCTGAGTTTATAGACCTCCTTCATCCCCTCTCAGTCTGGTTTTAAAATTAATCAGTCAGCAAGTATTACTGAACCTGAAGTGTGTGAGCTAAGGTAGGGACGGGAGGTGAAAGGAAAATAATCAGAAGGCCCAGTAACAGCATTTACTGGCTATTTACTACACTGCGGGCACCAACCAGGCTAAGCAACCCCCACAGAGTAGGTACCATTGTTATCTCCATTTAACAGATGGGAAAACTGAAGCCCAAAGCATCAAGCCATTGGCCTAAGACTTCGCCGCTAACAAATGGCAAAGTAGGAATTTAAACCCAGGTCGACTGACCCCTGAACCTGCACTCTAGACAGCCTCCTTACGCTCCTAGGCAGCAGGGATTAGGGCTGAGGGTAGAAACTTTGCAGCCAGCCTGACCCAGATTCAAACACTCAGCCACGTGGCTATGTGAACTTGGGCAATTCCCCGAGGCTCTGTTTCACCTTTGGTAAACCCGACCTCAAAGGGCTGTCCTGGGAATTAAATGAGATGATGGATGAGGAACATGCCAGGCCCAGTGCTGGCGCACAGAGGTTCTCGGTAGGTGACCATCCCTGTCCTCTCCTCGCTTCGCAAGCTCGCAGTCTAGTTGCCAAGTTGGAGATAAGAGTTCAGCGGAGAGCTCTGAGCTCTGCTGGAGCCAACAGGGAAGTCAGGGATCAGAGCATTTTTGCCGAGAAATGCAAATGTCTCCTTTGCTCCCTCTCAGCCTCTGCAACTAACCTCCTCTCCCATCTCCCCAAAAAGGAAAGGGGTGGCTTTTGTGCTCCAAAGCTGAGTGCTTGAAGCCCCTCTCTTTCCTGCTCCCCAGGAGGTGAGCAGTGGAGATGACAGGAAGTCACCAGGCGGGAGACCCTTTCTGGCATGTGGGCACAGAGAAATGTGGTGGAGGGCGCTCCTTTTTCTGCCCTTCAATGGTCCGGATGGGGGAGGGGGCTGGCTGTTGAGCAACTGCTCCGGAGACACTCCAGAAGCCGAGATGAACATATGCCTCTTTCTAACAATTGGCCTGGGAGCCATCCAATAGATGGAGGGCGGATCAACACCTCCCGGATCCGGAGCCTGCAGCGGAGAAGCTGCCGCCGTTGCCAGACCCGCTCCCGAGCCAAGCCGGAGCTGACGGGGAGAGTGGGTCAGGGGTTCAAATTAGTAACACGCAATTCGAAAGCCTAGAGTTGCTCATTCTCCACCACTTAGTTTTCGCATAAACAGTTTTTTTTTCATCCCAGGCAAACACCAAGAGGACTTGGTGTGTTCCACACGCGGTTTGCAGTAAGGCTTTAGGGTGCCGACAGATCCCGCCTTTTATCAGAGGCAGACTAGGCAGGGCCCACAATCTTGCAAGCAAAGTGAGAAAGTGCAGCGAAGATGTGTGGGGTGTGGCTGCTACCGGGCTTTGTGTTGGGACAGGGTAGGTGAAAAGACTGGAGTTGTGCAAGGCAGATTTGAGGGCTGGGGAATGGGTTTACCTGGCGACCAAGGCACTCGCCCAAGCTTCCTCCAGATGCAGAGGAAGGGCCTTGATCCCTCTCTCCATTTGCTTCCCATCTTTGTGTCAGTAAGCCGGTCAGTCGGTCAACAAACAGAACTTTGTTAGAAGAGCAAATGCAGGGCACTTGGGGCTACTAAAAAAAGAAAAAGAGACCTTCAGGTCTTCAAATCCAATTAAGAAGACAGAACACATACATAGTGAAAATGACTTCGTGACATTCCCTTCCCCCCTTTTTTTTAAACATCAGGACCTTTTCTTGACGAGTATGTTTTATAAACAGTGTAAACTGAGTAGTTGTTGCTGGAAGGCAGCAAAAAAAGAGCGGCAGGGAAGGGGTTGGCGGTGATAGAGGGGTAATCCTGATGGCCTTCCTGTAAGAGGTAAGATGGGAATTTCTTGGCTACAAAGAACCCAAATTGAGATGAGGGAGAAGACCCAGACCTCTTTCCAGTAAGAATTTGTAAGACAACATCTCTACCCAAGAAAGACGAACTCCGAATGCAAAACGTTATTCTTGCTAGACGGGAATGATTACATAATCATAATAAAACAACCTGACATCGTGGGAAGACAGGAGGAATCTCCGCGAACCCTGGGGCAAGCTCTTCGTACCCCGTTGCCTACTGTTGGCTTTTCTGCGAGCCTCGTGAGCTGCACCTGGCCCCACAGTCCGGGAGAGTAGCATTTCTCCGGGTCGCATCCTGCCAGCCTCCTGCCCTGGATGACCACAGAACGGAAACCCTCCAACCCAACCCCAGCTCAGGACTTCAAGGAACGCCACCGCTGCCATATAGGCCTTCCATGCGACTCTGCCCAAAATCTGGCAACTTCAAGAGGAAAAGGAACCCCCAGCCTCAGCTCTTCAACGAATGAGATAGTACAGCCCCCAAAAAGGCAGACAGGCTCCAAGAGAGCCCTGCAGAAAACTAGTGACCATTCCCCCGTCCCGTGTGCGCCCCTCTCTTCCAGGTCACTCCTTGAGCCCACAGCTCTCTCCCAAAACCCCTGAAGCCCGTTTTAGCCCCCGACTAGATTTAGGTCAGAAAACAGACACTAACGGCTCTCCTTTGCCTCAGTGAAATTACTAAGTGGAATTTATTGGGCAAGTCCACGCAGGGCGGTGGGGAGAGCCGGTGTCCCGGGCCGTGGCCCCCGACAGCTTTAGAAGCCGGGCACCGGCCAGGGCTCCGGGCGAGGGGTGCCCATAACCCGGACTCGCCAGCCCCACCCCGGGAGCCGTGGCCGGTCCACAGGGCTGCCGGACCCTCGTGGCCGCGTGGACTCCGTTCCCCAGCCGGCCCTTCGCTTTCACACGATCCGCGGTGACTGCACCAGCTCGAGCGCCTTTAAAGGGCCACACACGCCAGCCGCTGCTATAAAAATGTTCCCGGCGGCACAGCTGCAGAAGGGGCACCGCTGAGCTGCCGAGAGGAAGCTTGCTCTGCCCGGCAGCCCTCTTGTAGCCCGCCGGCGTGGGGCCGTTCCCGGTGAGGAGGAAGAGAGCAGCGGACGGCACAGCACTTGCGCGGGCCCTCCGTGAGTATCCAGTTCAGATTTTGCCACCAACTCGTCCATGAGCCAGGACATGTGCTAATAATGCCCTAAGCCGGTTATAAAGACGTGGAAATTGGGGGGAGAAAAAAAAAAGGGGGAAAAAAGGGTCTGTCCTTCCTGGGATTCCTAGCCGAGGCCAGTCTGCTGCCGTGTGCGTGTGCGTCAGGGCTCTCCGGGCGGCAATGGGGGCTTGAGACCCGGGTCCCCAGCGCCGGGAAAGGAGCGCGGTGGCCGCCACCGCCACCGCCCCGGAGTCCGGCGCCGAAGCTGCGGGCGGGCGGGCGGGCGGGCACCGGCTCGGGCCGGGGCTGCTTGGCGCGGCACTGTGCGGTGCAGCGGCGGCGCGGTGCGGTGCGGGCTTTTCCCAGGCGCCCCGGGGTCGGGTGGCCACCGGCGCGGCCGCGGGCGCTGAGCGCGACCGGTTCGCTGCAGCGGTGGCGGCGGCGTGCGTGCCAGGGGCTGGGGGCTCCGCCGCCTCTCCTGCGGCTCACCGAGCTCCGCGCTTCCCTCTCTCTAGGGCAGGCGGCTTCTCAGAGGTAAGCCGGGCCGCCGGGCTGGGCGCCTGGCTGGGCGGCGGGGCCGAGGACTCCCGTGGAGCGGGCGTGGGGAGTGGGCGACCGCCAGGCGGGCCGGAGGGTTCTGGGGAGTCTTGTTTTCTGTTGGAAAGCTGCTCTGCTGGGGGCGAGGGGCCGCCCGCCTGCCCGCCAGCGCTCTGGTTCGCTCGCCAGCGCGCCCCCCTGCCGGCCAGCGGGGCCGGGCGCCCGCTTCTCCCGGGGAGACGGCAGCACCTTTTCTCCCCGCGCCCGCGCTTTCTCCAGCTTGGCTTCCACCGACTTTGCTAATCGCCCGGACCGCATCTGTACGCTCTGGCTCCGGAGCTGCACAAAGCTCAGATTTCCTTCGGGGAATGAGGCAAGAGGGGCTTTTGGGGCCGAGTTCAGTGGAATTGCGGGATGGAAGTTAGCGAATTAGGGCAACTTGCCTCTACTGCCCAGTCGACCTCAGCTCTCCCCTCCCCCGACACACGCCCACACACACACACCCACGCGCACACCCCTCTCCCTATAAACGCGGGCTGGCGAGCAGCGCGCCGAGTCCCTGCTTCGCAGAGCACCGGACTTGGAATCAGAGAGACCTGGCTGCGAATCCCGGCTCCGCCACTTTCTAGCGCTGTGACCTTGGGCAAGTTACCGCACCTCTCCGGGCCTCTCTAACTCTTCTCCTAGCGGGGTTTTAGCACTGACCGCAGGCGGCTTGGCTAGGGGGTAGGCTCAGCCTGCGGCCGCGTCGAATGCTCAGCGGGCGCTCAGTAAGTGTTGATGAGGCGCGGGAGTGGCCGCCGCCGGCGTCGGAGTGCAGACTCGCCGCGGAGGCCGACACCCCGCGCCCCTTCCCGCCTGTACATGCTGTCTCTACGATCAGTTCCTGATACAGCACTTGCGGGAACGGACGCTCAGGGCCCCGGTGGCCCGGGTGCTCGCGCCCGCCGTGCAGGGGATGCTCCCGGCCGCCCCCGGTTCCGCGGCTCCATCTGGGATGCGGCGAGGAGGGCAGCCGAGCTGTCCGCAAACAACGGGCCTTTAGTTTTCAGGTGGCGAAACTGACTGGTCTGGTTAGAGCGCGTCCAAGCCAAGCCGCAGTGCTGTTTGGATTTTTAAATTTCTCCTTCTGAGTGAGAAAATAGCAATCGAGATGGAACCATCCGGTTGGTGCCATTTTAACTTTTGGTCCCCCAACAGGTTAAAGATGAGGCCCCCACCTGCCTCTCTCTTCTCTCCTTCCTCTCCCCTTCCCATCCCTGTCTAGGCGGGAGGGGGCTGCTCGCCCAAGGGAAGGCCTGAAGCGAAGAGCGGGCGGCGGGACTGGGAACTGGTGGCCGGGGGGCCGCGAGGCATCAGCCGGCGAGGAGGCACTTGTTGCTCTAGGTTTCCCAGCCGCTTCTCGCAGCCGTTTCGCTGTGGTCAGCTCGCGGCTTGGAGAGCGGACTGGGACGTTTCCGCATTGCCAAGTATTGCCTACGAACAGGCTAGAGGGTGGTGGAGGAGGGCAGAAAACCGGGGAAGCAGAGCCAGGGATGCCGATGGAAATGCGATTGCTTCTTCAGACGCATTCAACAACACTTACTGAGCGCCTATGGAGCACAGACCCAGGCTGGGGTCAGGGTGGGTGGTGGGTCAGTGATGGAAGGCAGAAGATCTGAATGGACACAGGGTCTCTTCTGGGGGAGCTCCCAGACTGAAGAGGGAGGCGCGGTAAAATGGTCTTCCCCCACAAACTGATATCAGAATAGAGACAGTTTTTTTGCTCGTTCTCTCTTGAATTTGCTAATGTTTATCTTTTGGTTTTGCTGTTGTTGCTGCTGCTCCTGTTGTTTTTTTCTTCGCTTTGTACATTCGGGTACCAGGCGGCAAAAAGGAGGGTGAAGGCTGGATAGGAACGGGAAAAGATGGACAGGGCCCCCAGACGTTCTTCTTAGGACAGGAAAATTGTCTGATACTGATCGTGCTAGGGCTCTTGAAGACGACATGTGTTACACTCCTTGTCGGTGATCACTTGCTTTTGAAATATTTTTCTATGGTTGCCTCAGAGAAGGAGCAGGGCTTCAATCAAGTGATGATGCGGGACCAAACAGCTGATATTTTTTCCTCATATTTAAAAAAAATATGTTTACCTTTTTCTCTATTTTTCCCTCTCCTCCCCCCCATCCACCCAAGTAAGCAATGCAAAGATGATACAGAGAGGTACTAAGTGGCCACTTTCTAGAAGTGTCTAAGCAGATTCTTAATGACCGCTGTGGAGTGGAGAGTGTCATGGAGAATCCTAGCCTCCTTGGAAAGATTAGAGACTCTTTCTAAGGTCCTCAAGATTCTCTGGACCAAGAGGTATTTATAAATATGAAATTCTACATCTCTAATTGATCATGAAGGCTCGAATATATGGGTTTTTTTTTTTTTTTTTTAAGAGACAGGGTCCCGTTATGTTGCCCAGCCTGGTATCAAACTCCGGGACTCAGGTGATCCTCCCACCTCAGCTTCCTGAGTAGCTGAGACTACAGGAGGGTGCTACTGTGCCTGGTTATGGGACATTTTTTCTTCTTTGGAAAAAGGCCTCTAGGAAAATAAGTTGAGATTTTCAGAGGGTTGTTTATTTTCTGGTTTGGTATTCTTTTGCCCTCATTCCCTTATCCTTTGGCACTTGAGCCAGGAAATCACTTCTTTGGAAGCCTTTTGAGTCCAGCTAGGTATGGTGACTTAGCCAGTGGTCAGGTGAGGCATATGGGCATAGGGGTGCTAGATTCTGCTCCCAGAACTGCTGCTCCCTGACTAAAAAGCCATTGAATCTCCATGCCTCACTTGTCACTATAGATGGGAATGGCTGGACTCAGGTTTCTGGGGTAGGCATCCTAGGAAAGCCCAACGCTGGGGCTGTCTTGGAAGGGGCTTGAGACATGGAGGAAAGTGAGACATTCCTAGCTTCTCTGGCTGCAGCTGCCCCAGAGCCCCCAGACTACCCTAATCAGCCTGGCTTCTCACAGGCGTGCCCAAGGCCATGCTTTGGAGCTCCATGACATTTGCACTGGGGACTTTTTCCTTCCCTGTGCTGCAACCTCTGGCTTTCTAGGTCTTCCTTGCCCTGACTTCTTCCCACATTCTCCCAGTCCCAGTGGAGGCCCCTACTCTCCAGTCTGGATGCTAGTAGCCCATTGAGACAATATGTTGTCTACTCAGGGACATTCCTGTCCTCCAAACCAGGAACAGTGCCACCTTCACCCCCACACATACAACTTGGGACTGTGAAGTCACTTGCATGAGGAAGCAGTGTGTCCCATCTTGGTGATATGGGTAGGTGGCTGCCTGGGCAGTACCTGGCCAATTCAAGCACCTTTCCTGCCTCAGGCAAAAGTTCCAGCTTGATGATCTCCCTGTGCTCGGGTCATCTCTGGTCCTGGCTCTAACCCAGTCGCCATCCTTGCCTCGTAGCTGCATGGCGTTGCCCTGCTTCGGGCTTTGCTAGTGCTTTGTTGGTCACTGAAGCCTTTCGCCCTTACCACTGCTTCTTCCTCACTTGCAGCACAACAGCTCCAGCTGGCAGCATCACTTCCTGCCAATTTATCCAACTTCTACCAAGGCTCTGAAATGCCAACAACGTCGAGGCCTGCACTTGATGTCAAGGGTGGCACCTCACCTGCGAAGGAGGTAATTTTTGCCATTTTGCAGATAAGGCAGGGAAAGACAAATTTTCCGGGGTCATGGGCCAGGCCCTCCTAGGTGCATTACCCAGTGTCCTTGAGCAGAGAGGAGACAACAGGGCTATCTCTGGAGAGAATGAGAACAGCTTCTGCCTAAATGTGGTCAGATTGAACCCACTAGGGGTGTTGAAAGATGGCAGGGAAGGGAGCAGAGAAATCGAGTTGGAGCACAACCACTCTGTTGAAGAGACTAAAGTGAGTCTGAGAAGAGGGACAGCAGGTGCCCTTTTTAGGATGGTGAGGTGGAGGCTATGGGGAAGGAGCTGAAAGCGGTGAACCCACTTAGGGCAGCAGATGCTCCAGCACTAGAACTGGGGTCTGGCCTCAGTGCTCAGAGCCATGGCAGCAAAAGGATGCTTGAGGTGGGAGCCTAATTTTCAAGGGGGTATTCTTGCTACCTCTCCACCTCTAGTCCTAAACGAAGTGCAGGTAGGAACCCTCTAAATCTGCTGAATGGTGAAGGACAAGCCAGGAACAGGGTTACTGTGGTGTGCTTTTCTCTGTCTTCTAGGATGCCAACCAAGAGATGGGCTCCGTGGCCTACTCCAACCTTGCGGTGAAAGATCGCAAAGCAGTGGCCATTCTGCACTACCCTGGGGTAGCCTCAAATGGAACCAAGGCCAGTGGGGCTCCCACTAGTTCCTCAGGATCTCCAATAGGCTCTCCTACCGCCACCCCTCCCACTAAACCCCCATCCTTCAACCTGCACCCCACCCCTCACTTGCTGGCTAGTATGCAGCTGCAGAAACTTAACAGCCAGTATCAGGGTATGGCTGCCGCCACTCCGGGCCAACCCGGGGAGGCAGGGCCCCTGCAAAACTGGGACTTTGGGGCCCAGGCGGGAGGGGCGGAATCACTGTCTCCTTCTGCTGGTGCCCAGAACCCTGCTATCATCGATTCAGACCCAGTGGATGAGGAGGTGCTGATGTCGCTGGTGGTGGAACTGGGGTTGGACCGAGCCAATGAGCTTCCAGAGCTGTGGCTGGGGCAGAATGAGTTTGACTTCACTGCGGACCTTCCATCTAGCTGCTGATGCCAAGTGTCCCTAAAGATGGAGGAATAAAGCCACCAATTCTGTTGTAAATAAAAATAAAGTTACTTACAAAGAGACGGGCCAACTAGAGGTGTTCTTCATTGAGATCTAATGATGTGTACTATGGTCTGATGTCCCTTTAGCAATTCTGAGGCCCATGGCGGGGTTGTGGGTGGCTAGCTGGGAAGGAGCTGGATGGGATGTGAGGAGAAGGGAGGGTGAAGGAGACTGTTCACTGAATTCCTGCTGCCAGTACCACTGTGGCTATCTCCTCAGGAGTACCTGGTCTTATTGCCCTAAGACTCCAGGAACACGTGGCATACAGGGGCTGGTTGGGGACTTTCTTGGAAGAGAGACTGATCAGACCTTTGTGCAGCCTCCTTGTCACATGCACATCCAAGTCTAAAGGCACATCCCTGACCACATGGCACACACTTCACCAACTCTAAAAGCCACCCCCACCCACTCTCTAGCCCCAATCTGATTGACCCATTAAGGCCTTTCCTTTGCCCTCTTGCCCATGTGCAACAGACAGATAGGGCTGAAGAAGGATCCCGTGACCTAGGAGCTAATATTTCTCTGGAAAATTGCAAAAGCAACAGACTCCCATCATTAAACTGGGATTTGAGGTGCCTTCTCCAGTCCCCTCACATAGCTGCTCAGTCACCCCAGCCTGGGACACTCTGAGCCAATCTTGAGTGTCCCTAACTCCTACCTTCCTGGCCCACCCTGTTTGAGCTTGCCTCTCCGTCTTAGAGATACACATCAGGGCTAGGATTGACAAGTTCAACATTTGGCGATCTATCCCTTGCCTTTCTATTAACTGCTGAGGTAGCAGTGGCTTCAGAAGCATGCCAAGTGACAAGGCAGTGGCACTGCACTGGATCCTGGCCTTGTGATATGCTGATAAAGCCTTGTCCTCATGTTGATACAACCCAATGTCCTGGACACTCTGTCCATGTTTCGGACTCCCAGACAGACTTCTTCCTTGAACGCTGAACACGACTCTAATCAGCCTCTCAGGATGAGCAACAGGCCTGCCCCCTAGCAACCACTTTTAAAAGAGTGTGCTAGCAGGGGCGTTGATTGGGAGCATGAATTACATGAAGTTTACCTTTGAGGGAGTTCCCCATCTCAGAAGGAGAAAGACAGGCACAAACAAATTATAATAAAACAGCATTTCCTAGAACACAGGGGGAAGGTGTTATTTGATCCCAGAAAAGGAAACAGCTCCATCTGCCTGGGAAGTCTGGGGAAGGCTCCTTGTATTGAACTGGCTTATTTGTTTTCATATTTCACAAGTAATAAATCAATGATCCAATCTCCTTGTAAAAAGTAGAAGCTTTGCAGATGAGGCTAAAGTACCCTTTGACCAAATCTCTCCCTCAATCCTGAATGCCTCTGGTTCTCCACAGAGGTAGCAACTGTTTACCTGTTTGTGGTGCATCCTTGCTGGCCTTGCTGTCTGTCCTTACATAAAAGTATATCCACCCAAAGAAAGTTTTGGCTTTTGAAATAAGACTTGAATCAGCCAAGGGAAGAATGAGTGAGGGGAACAGCTATTAAACAGGCACAGGCACATGAGAGGGGCTACAGTGGCTGAAACCAGGAGTTCAGCACACAGGCTATGTCACAGGGCTGGTAGAGGGGGCAGGAAGAGATGAGGTCGCAGAAGCTCATAAAAGGCAGAGTCCATAGGGCCTTCTGGAAACATGCCTTCACCTTAGTGCCACCAGTCCTGTGGCTCTGGAAGAATCTCTGGAGGTCTGTGGGAAAGCAAATAGTTAAGCAACTTTTAACATCTCGTTTTTAAGATGATTTCAATAAAGGTGGATGGTTAGATTCATCTAAGGCTGGGAACAGGGAGACATGGGGTTTTGAGGGGGCTGATGAGACAGGGGTAGGAAAACGGAGAGGGAGGAAAGGAAGCCTGGAAGAAGGTGGGGAGAGCAGAGGAGGCTTGAGGGTCTCAGGTCTGTGAGGAGAACACAGGAACTGGATTGGGGGAGCTCGGAAGGGAGAGGAAGGAGGGACCTGAGCTCCCAGGTCATAGGATCCTTCTTCGGCCCTATCTTTATATTGCACATGGGCAAGACTGGGGGAGCTAGGAAGGGAGATGAAGGAGGGTCTCAGATGCACAGCTCCTAGCAACACAAGGGCAGTGTGGACACAGGCATGGCGGCTGAAGCAGAATGACAGGATGGGGATGGAGCCGAACTCTGAATGGCTGGAGGGTCCCAGGGTCCCTCCCCTGCTTGGGCCTTCAAAAAACACAATTCTGGCCAAACTAAACAGGTCAGCAGGCTGCATTCAGCGCCTGGTCCCCAGCTTGACACCCCTAATCTCTATGAGCATAAGCTCTGGAACTCCCAGTATGGCAGTAGTCCTTGGGGTGGGGAGAAGCTTGAGCCAGGGGCCAGTGCCTTCAGGAGGGAGATGGGCTGCTTTGGAATCATGGGGGTGACAGGAGTGTGGCTGGGAGGCAGGTGATGGTGGGGAATGGCCTGAGCAGCTCTAGTATATTAACCAGAGTCTCCAGAGAAACAGAACAAATAGGATAGAGACATACAGATATACATGTGTTGGCTCACAAGATTATAGAGGCCGAGAAGTCCTACAGTCTGCTGTCTGCAAGCTGGAGAATGAGGCAAGCCAGTGGTGTAATTTGTCGGAGTCTGAAGGCCTGAAAAGGTGGAGGATAGTGATAGTGTAAGCCTTGGTCTGAGTCTGAAGACTTGAGAAACAGGAGCACAGAGGTCCAATGACACGAGAAGATGATGTCCCAGCTTAGACAGAAACAAATTCACCCTTATTCTGTCTTTTTGTTCTACTTGGGCCCTCAACAGATCAGATGATGCCTACCCACATTGCTGAGGGCAATCTTCTGTCTTCAGTCTACCCATTCACATGCTCATCTCTTCTGGAAACACCCTCTCAGACACACACAGAAATGTCTGACCAGCAATCGATATCCTTAGCCCAGTCGAACTGACATATAAAATTACCCATCAAACCTAGAGAAGGTGCTTCTGAATGAGGAGGGAAAGCAGGAACTTTGGCAAGGCAATCCTGCCTCCTGGTGCCAGCGGCCAGAAATGTGGCCAACTGAGCAACCTCTTCTCCAGAGAGCTTGGAGGGAGAAGGCATGGGACATCCTGAAGGGAGAGTCAAGGCCCTGCACAGGGGCAGACGAGGACGGCATGGGTCAGTAATTGTTTATTGCTAGAGAAGGAAAGGGAGTAAGAGAACTCCACAAGGCACAGTGGAGGAAAGGCAGGCAAGTCTCAGTCTTTGAGACTTGAGGTCATGTTCAGACCTCTAGAGGCACAACCAGACACATTCATTCATTAGGTTACTAGAAGATTCCTGAAGCCAACTCCAAGTCCTGGCCTGGAATAGGCCCTGGGGGCTAGGAGGCAAGGTACCCAGATGTACACAAGTAAAGAACACTGTCTACCCGCAAGGAGCTTGCTGCTCAGTACAAATCTGTAGCCAAGAGCACCTCCTAGAGCAGTGCTGCTCCCTAGGGACAAACTAGAGAGCACTCTGCTCCTGCATTCCAGGAACTCATAACTCAGTGGTGGAGATAGCCATAGCCTTGAAAGATGAACTATATTTCCATCAAGCAGCAATGCTGGTGGGGGCTTGAGTGGATGGCATGGACTCCAGGCTGAGGGGGCAATTGGAGCACAAATACAAAGATAAAATCGGGGCACGATGTAAACAAGAACAAAATGTTAGAAAACCCAAGGCTTTCTCAAGGATGTCCCGCAGCTTGACTTCCTCAAAGGGCAGAGGACCGAGAGGAGGTAGGGTAGAATCAGATCCTGCAGTTGTTAAGACTTTATTCCACAGGTGAGGGACAATCTCTCATTCCACAAATAAGGACTGAGCACCTACTTTGTGCCAGGAACAATGCTAAGCACTGGGAATATGTGGTAAGCACATTGTCCTTGCTCTCATGAAACTTCAAGCTTAGCAAGGAGATAACCAGTAGTCAAGTGATCATGCAGATAATTAAAATTACAAATCATGAGAAGTGATGGGAAGAAAAGGTACAGGGCACTATGAAAGGGTATAACAGGGGTTTAATCTCAATTGCAGTGTCAGAGAGGGCCTCTGAAGGTTTTTAATGAAGAAGAGTTGTGGTCAGAGCTTGCATGAGGAAAATTAATCAGGCAATGGTGTATATGACAAATTGGAATTATGGTGATTCTAGAAAGCTGTGACAGTGGTCCAGAAAGAATAAAGAAGATGGGAAATTAGTTTATTATAAAATGGTAACATTTCAATGGAGAGTTGTTGTTTAATGGGTATAGAGTTTCAGTTCTGCAAGATGAAAGAGTTCTAGAAATCTGTTGCACAGCAATGTGAATATACTTAACACTACTAAACTGTACACATAAAAATTATTAAGATGGTAAATTTTATGTTGTGGTTTTAACCACAATTTAAAGTTAAAAAAAAAACAAAACAAGAATTAGCATTCCAAAGCAGTGAGGAAATGATGGATTATTCAATAAAAGCTTTGAGAGAACTGGATACACTAACCCAAACTTACACCAAAATGAATTCCAGATAAGCCAAAGATTTAAAAATAAAAAATGAAATCATAAAAGTAGTAGAAGACAAAAATGGAGATTTTAAAAAGAAAACTTAGAAATAGGGAGGTCATTCTAAGAATGACACAAAATCCAGAAGCTATGGAAGAGGCTGACATATTTAACTGCATTAAAAAAAATAGGCCTGGCATGGTGGCTCACAATTGTAATCCTAACACCTTGGGAGGCCAAGGTGAAAGGATTGCTTGAGCCTGGGAGTTCAAGGCCAATCTAAGCAACATAGGGAGATCCTATCTCTACAAAAAAATTAAAAATTAGCTGGGCGTGGTGGTGCACACCTGTGGTACCAGCTACTTGAGAGGCTGAGGCAGGACGATCACTTGGACCTAGGAATTTGAGGCTCCAGTGAGCCATGACCGCACCACTGCACTCCAGCCTGGGCAACAGAGTAGACTTTGTCTCAAAACAAACAAACAAACAAACAAACAAAAAACTGCAAGGCAAAAACATACCAT